GGGCAGAGAGGAGGTGAGGAACAAGGCAGGGAGGACGTGACAGACCCCGGTCTTTCACCATGGGCATGACTGAGATGTCCAGAGCCCTCCAGGATTGACCCTCCGAGGGTCAATGTTGGGTGGGGTTGGTTTTGACACCAGCCCCCACCCGATCCCTCAAACCCACATTCTTACTCTCAGCTCGCTCAGACTTGCTATCTCCTAATACCGATGTGATTTCCACCTCCAACCTGTCCCCGGCCTGTTTTCCCCCCCAACATGACCCTCCTTCCTCCAGATCTGACCTCAGCCTACGGCCGGTTGGGGGCTGTGTGATTCCCAGTTGGTGTCGGGGCTTCTGAAGTTGGAGTACAACTGTAACATCTTCACAATATTTTTACCGAAAGCAAAACAAAAGAACTCGTCCCCATGGGGACGCCTGGGTGGCTCAGTTGTTAAGCGTCTGCCTTCGGCTCAGGTCATGATCCCAGAGTCCTGGGATCGAGCCCCGCATCAGGCTCCAGCCCTGCATTGGGCTCCCTGCTCAGCAGGAAGCCTGCTTCTCCCTCTCCCACTCCCCCTGCTTGTGTTCCCTCTCTCGCTGTGTCTCTCTCTGTCAAATAAATACATAAAATCTTTAAAAAGAACTCATCCCCATGAAGATGGACACTAGTGACCTGTGGTTTCTTTGGGGCTTTTTATCTTAATTGGCATATCTCTGGAAAAGTGCTAATGTCATACAAAAGAGGCATGAACTGTGAATACCCTGAAATACTTGGTTTGAAAAGAGTCCTATGGGAGATGTAGAAGGGCTCTAAGGATTCTTGAAAGATCCTTTCTGTGCCTTAGAGACTTGTTAAAACAACTTTTCATTTAAGTCGAAAGTTTGGATGGCTTACTCTGACTTTAAGTCCTTCATTTTTCAGAATGGAAAATGCCCAGCCCCCCAGCGGCCCCATCCAAGGCTCACCCAGCTACATAAACCTCCTTCATATGCTCCCTGAGACTCAGAGCTTGACTTTAAGTGAGGGAGTGTTCTCCCAAGGCGTTGTGGGTTTGGAGATGCAACTGTGTGTTTCACAATCTGTACTCAAGCAGTGCAAATTGATTCTCATACCAGCTTGGCCTGAATGTAAATGAGGGTAAGAATAGTAGCTAATATATGCTTATTCGGGCACTGTATTAGCACATTCTATGGATTATGTCATTTAGTCCCCCAACAACCTCATGTAGTAGAGACTCTTTTTATTGTTGTTTTTAAGGTGTATTTATTTTAGAGGGGGGGAGGGGCAGAGGGAGAAGGAAAGAGAAAATCTCAGCAGGCTCCCCAGTGAATGCAGAGCCCGACATGGGGCTCGATCTCACCACCCTGAGATCGCAACCTGAACCAAGAGTCAGATGATTAGCCGACCACGTCACCCAGGTGCCCCAGTAGAGAGACTCTTTTTAAATCCCATTTCACAGATGAGAAAGCTAAGAGAGGTCAAGAGACTTGCCGAAGGACACAGAGCTATCTAATGGTGCAGTCCGGATTTGAACTCAGGTGTGATTCTATAGTTTATGCCCTCAAACACATTCCTGTCCCATTGGCTGGCTCAGTAAATACTAAAAAGTTTGGTAGTATTGACTGTGCCCAAAATTGTGGCAACATGGGCACATACACATCTTGCGGGGGTGTAAATTGGTACAGATTTTCGGAGCACGATTTGGTAGGTCCTACCAAAATGATAAACTTGCTTCATCTTTTAATCATTCCTGGCAATCTATAACACAGGAAGCCTTGGATTTATAAACAAAGAAATACATATGCAAGTGTTCATCATAGCATCACGTGTGGAAATAAATATCCACCAATAACGCTGGTTAAGTAAATTACAGAACATCCATGCCATGGAATTCCACTACACATCAAAGGCTTTGCTTTTTCAACAATTTGCTGAGTATCTATCCATCACACTGGATATGGCCATGAACAAGCAAGCCAGACACTCTCCAATCCTGCAGAAGTTAGGTTCTACCAAGAGAATTTTGATACTTCAAAAATTTTTAGCTTTTTAAGTAAATTTTCCATAATGCTCCTGCTTTCTTATTTGATTGGCTAACACAAATGATCCCAAACAAGTAAAAATAAGCTGTTGACCGTTCAGGTGGATGCAACCACTAGCTGAGACAATTTACAGCGAGAAACTGTTCTAATGGCCACACACGTAGATCCACCATCCTTGGAGCTTCCATAGCTCTCAAAATTACAGGTAGAATTTCATCACCGTAAATAAACACTAATGGAGGGCCCAAACAACTCTTGTTGAGTTATATACTGCAAAAGTAAAATCAGTATGTCATTAGTTGGGACTTGAAAACGAAGATTTAATTATAATGCAAGGTAAATCTGCAGGGCCAGCTCACTTGGTGGCCATCTGACTCCACCCACATTGACTTTACTGCTTAGTAAAATAGTTCTTCAAGGGCAAAGGGATGGTCATCAGACAGTATCTCGTTAATTGGCTCTCCTATCTTGTATTTCTCTTTTATACATCTGGACTTGGTTTACCATAATTTGAAGATCTCCAACACTAAAAATCAACAAAAGGATTGCTATGATGCGGGATCTACTGACATGGAAAGTTTCCCCTGATATGATATTAAGGAAGAATTTTTAAATCATGGTGCAGAATAAGATGTTCAGTATGATGCAGTTTTTGTGGGAAGAGCTCTATCTAATGTACACACACACACACACACACACGCATGCACGCAGTTGCATATGCATAGTAAAAGGTCTGGAACGATACACACCAAACTGTAACATTCTGGAGAAGGAGGCGGAAGGCAGGGTAGATGCCAGGGCGGAATATGCTCCACATTCACACTGTGTGCTTCTAAATTTGTCTACAGTAAGCATGTACAGTTCTGCTTATGCAATATTCTGTATATATAAAATCGAAGGAAAATAAAGTATACCAGAGCTAGATGATGAAGGCAATGTAGGAGAACTCAGGAATTAAGACATCGTCATGGAAGTTGTGGGCAGCCGCTGAAGGGCTGAGGCAGGGAATGGAGATGGTTGGATTTGCAGCAGCGTGGAGGGTGCACTGGGGGGAGGAGGAAGGTGTGGAGGCCATGGAAGGGCTCAGAGGACTTGCAGACCGAGAGCTTGGACTTGGACTTGGAGCCCGACCGCTGTGAGGAGCGGGAGATGGGGGACTGGAGGAGCCCTGGAGGAGGTGCGGGCTTCTGGGGTCAGAGGCAGGGCTCACATGGGACGTATGAGATGATACCTGGGCAACCAGGTCACGGGAGACCCAGCACTGGTGGTGTGTCGCACACGTGACTTCATGCCAGACAGCCTCTCTCAGCCATTCACCAGATATTTATTAGAAAAGAGTGAGGGATGGGCGCCTGGGTGGCTCAGTTGGTTAAGCGACTGCCTTCAGCTCAGGTCATGATACTGGAGTCCCAGGATCGAGTCCCGCATCGGGCTCCCTGCTCGGCAGGGAGTCTGCTTCTCCCTCTGACCCTGTTCTCTCTCATTCTCTCTCTCAAATAAATAAATAAAATCTTTAAAAAAAAAAAAAAAGAAAAGAGTGAGGGATACATTCCCAACCAATAAACAAGTCTCCCACGAGCCATGTAAACCACTCGGTTGGACTGAGAAATGCTCTCCTTGCAGTCATGTGAATGTGGGGGTGTCTTTGCATCCAAAGATTCTTTCCTCTGACCAAAAGAGGGAACCATCAGGGAAGCCTGAGCTCAAGAAGAGCTGTTGCCTCTGCTAGCTTGTCCCCAAGACCGGCTGTGGGTGCCCGGGGCCACGCTAGATCTGGCTGAGCTCCTGTCCTCTGAAAGGCCCACCACCCAGTGGGCTGCAGGTGAGGCGATCCAGGCCAGAAGGCTTTTCAGAATCTTTGGGCCTGAGCCTGGGGACACCTCTGATCTCCTTCCAGTTTCCTCAGGGCTGTGGGATTTTCTGGGCATGGTACCCACCAACCGAGAAGTTTACCGGTTCCCCCGAAGTATGTTCTAGGCACTTATGCCAGGCATGGCTCTAAGGACCAGGGCAGAGCTCTAAGCCAGCCAAGCAAGTCTCTGCCCCCCTGGAAACCAGGCACCTGTTCAGTCGGCAACAAAGTTCTTCCTTCCTCAGCTGGTGACATTCTAGGTTTTTCTGGGCATAGTGGACGGTGGTGTCTGAGCAGCGCTGGGCCCAGCCAGGGGACGGGGAGATCCAGGACCAGCTGAACCCACTCCAGGGAAGGTCCCTAGCCAAAGCCAAATCTGGGCCTGTGGAAGTCTTAAGCCTTGAAAAGGTTATGATATTCCTCTGCTCCAATGTGTAATTGAAAATAAAAACCCAAACAAACTGCGAAGTTAAGCAAGATCAACAAAGTTCTGATTTTTGCCCCTCAATGATGACTTAATGCTTCAAAATGCTAATCATCCAATTCTTCCTCAAGAAAATCATTTTACGTGCCTGTGCTACATGCTGTCCAAAGCAAAATAGAGCAGAATAATATGAGTGGCGTGAGGGGGGCTGGCCCCAGACTTTGTCCTGGCCTCCTTGTCCAAGGGAGTCTGATCAGGCATGCGCGTCTCAGCAGCAGGAGGGGCCCCGGGAAGGACAATCCTCTGGAGCAGGTGTTGGCTGCACTGCAGCCCCTCATGTAGCCACGGCCGGGACGCAGAGCACGTGACCTGCCCCCCGGGCTGGCCACGACATAGAAGTCTAGCCAGCCGAAGCAGAGTCCAGGTCAGAGCTCTGGCTACAGTGGGGGAGGAGTGAACTGGGCTGGAAACCCAAGTGTGGCTCGGGGGGCCCATCCCTGTGCCGCACACACCAGACACAGTGGCCGTTCAGCCCCCCACCCCCTGGGACTGCCGAGACTCCGGGGCTTCCCTACCCGGGGGCAGGCAGAGCCTCCGCAGCAGGTAAGGCAGTGGGGGTGGACGGTGTCACCATGTCAGACCTCTTGTTCCCAGGAGCCTGGCTCTCCTCGCTAAATATCTCTTGTCCTTTTTTGCAGAGTGATGAGGTCCTCACCGTCATCAAAGCCAAAGCTCAGTGGCCAGCCTGGCAGCCTCTCAATGTGTAAGTAGCAACCAGACCCTGGCCATGCCCAGCCCTGTCCCAGCCTTGTACTCAGAGCCACCCAGCTTCTGGCCACCGCCTGCCAGGTGTGTCAGTCGAGTCAGCAATACCTCTCAGGGGGAAGAGCAGGTGCGGTGCGCTGCCCACGTATCTTCTCAGGAGAACAGGTTTGGTGTCTGTTTCCCCCAGTGTTTCTAATACCACAGAACCAGACACAATGAAAACCATTCTGTGTTCACTCATGTTCTCAGCACAGGCCGAACATGCCTTCGCACACAGGGGTTCTCACCCGAGGCCAAGTCTGACTCACAGAAGGCTAGATTTACCCCAGTTTCCATTCTCAGTCCCCGTCTCTTTTCTGTCTACTCTATCTCTTGAAGATTTCATCCTCCCTTGCATTTTGGTGACCAAGGGTGTGCAGATGGCCCTATAAACGACCATTCCCCCAGGTAGATATGTTTGTGTGTAGGTAAGTAGGCAGATATGTAGATAGGTAAGTAGATAGATCATCCATCCATCGGTTTCTTGGACACCTCTCTGGAGAGGGTGTGCATGGACCTGGAACCCATCACTAAGTCCTGTGGATTCTGCCATCTTCATATCTCACAAATCAGTTTCCACCTGACCCTTCTCCCACTGTTAGCTCCGACCACCAAGTTTTCTCACCTGGACTGCTTCAACTCTTCCCTCGTCCATGACGCTGTCACTGGAATGATCTTTTAAGAATCCAAATCTGATTGTGTCCTCCTCTCCTTAGAATCCCACCATGACTTCTCTTAGTCTCCAGGATCGCTTTGTGAGGCCACCGAGAGCCGGACACACCCCAGCCCCTGCCTCCTTTTCCTCAGGACTCAGGTCTGGCTCCTCCCTACTCTGCACCTTGCTCTGGCCACACTGAATCCCATGCAGTTCCTTGAGCGGGCTCTGGTTCCCCTCATCCTCTAAGGATGCAAGATTTGGAGCTGAGTTCTCGCCAGCCACATGAAAGTGGTTGATGATGAATGGCTCGGCCAGCTAGTCTCTGGAGTATCTATACCCACTAATGATGGCATTGAGGAAGACAGCAGCAACCCGGGCAATGCTGAGATTCTGCTCAGTGGGAGAAAAGGCAAATTCCAAATGATAGGAGGGGAAGCACAGGGTGAGGTAGCAGGAGCAGGGGGAGGAGGCGCTCTCACACGTGACCAGCTGGGAGCAGGAAGCTGGTGCCATGCCAGGCGCCTGGTGCCCACCTCCTTAACCATTTGGCAAATCAGTGGTCCATTCCCCACGACGGGCCAGCCCTAAACAGCCAGTCCCCACCCCATGGAATGCCCAGCGGGGGGATGGGGTGGGGGAAGATGGACCAAAAACAGAGTTCTACCATTCCAGAGCTGCCCTTTGCACACGTTCAGGTGGCACCACATATACGGAATATATATAATATGACGTCATCATGGTAGCCGTGTACGCTCCAAGGGGGTAAATGTTATGATGAGGATATCAGTGGTTCCAGAAGACCAGAGAAGGCTCACAACCCCGCCGAGGGTTGGGGAGAAGTCAGGAGGGCCTTGTTTAGGAGACGTCCCAGGGCTGTCTGGAAGGATGCTCCTTGCCCCTGGAGAGGCCCAGATCTGGTAATACTGAGGCCTGAGGCCCTACGTGGAGACCTGAGGAGAGAGAGAGGCCCACCCTTGGACAGCTGACCCAAGGCAGCCCAGCTGGCTGCATGCAGGCCTTGTCTAGCTTGCTGTGATCTCCTCTGAGGAAGCTGGGCCCAGAGTGGTTGAAAATCTGCCGAGCCCTGGAAGTGCCTTTCCCTCCGAGGAGAAGCAACAGAGGCAGGCCCTGCTGCCCAGGCTGTCCCCTGGTAGGTGGGCATTTGTCTGTCCCAGGCCTGTCCCACCAAAAAACACTGATGTGAATTCACAGAGGCCCTGAGCCCCCTTCACATAATAATCATCAATCAGAAAAAAAGGTCCACCATGAATCCTGCTTGCTCAGGCTCTCCTCAGCAGCTCCCAGCTCCAGAACCTGTATGTGAAGGAGTCCTCACCATTGGCCCTCGAAGCAGGCAGGGGCTCAGGGCCAGGGAGCGGTTGGGGGCATCTGGGCCAGAGTTTGTGGATGCCAATGTTGATACCACTAAGCAACCCTGAGCCCAGTTTTCCCTTAAGGAGCCTGGGTTTAGGAAGATGTAAAGCAAGGTGCTTCCAAAAGGAGTGAGGAAAGAGAGAAGAGAGAAAAAGAAGAAAGCTGAGAGCTGACCTTTTTGTTTTGAGCACCTACTATGTGCCAGGTACCCGGCAAGGCACTTCTGTTCCTTATCCCACTTCATTCCTCACACACACCCCACGAGGTAGGGATTTTGAGCCTCACTTCGCAGACAAGATTGAGGCTCAGAGGTTCCATGGCAGGTCCAACCTCAGCATCCAGCTCCACCGGCGGAGGAACTAGAATTCCAACCACATCCAGCTGCCTCCACCACCTGTGCCCTTCACTTCTAACAAAGCCCCTCCAACGAAGTAACAATTCATTCAGTGTCCATTTTTTAATCAATCGAGACATACACTCTATCTGCCAGTCAGACTTCGGGCCAGCATGAGATGAACAATGTGACCACAACCAAACTGTCTGACTCCTGCCCCTAAACAAGACAGGATCTTGACTTTCACTTACCTCGTGTCCTTCTGTCAAGGATGACCGAGACATTTCATGGCCTCCACAAATATTTGTGGTGGGTCTCTAAGGGGAAGTACTGTCAAAAGTGCTTAGGAATACAGCAGAATTTCTCATGAACTCACAGTCTGGTGAGGGAGAGAGACATTAACCAGATGATGACAAATGTGATGTGTCTGCAAAGTAAAGACATAAAGTGCCATGAGAGTATGTGAAGAGGACCCTGACCCAGCCTGAAGGTCAGAGAAAGCTTCCTTAAGGGATGGCAACTGAGCTAAGAGTTAAGGAATCAATAGGATTTGTCTAGGTAAAGAAGCAAAGCAAGGAGAGAACATTCTAGAAAGTCTAGAGAGACCATCACGTCTCAAGACCCTGAGGAGGGATCGGCATACTTAAGGTACTAAACAGCTGTGGTGTAACTAGGTCCAGAGATCACAGGTGAACTTGGTGTGGCGCCAAGCCATGCAACATTAGGGATTTTGATTTTTACATTAAGAGTAATGGGAAATCATTGAAGGGTTTTAAGCAGGATGACAACACGATCAGATCTGCATTAAACAACAACAGTAACAACACTCTGGCTCCAATATGAAAAGATTAAGACTAGAGGAAGCAAGACCAGTGAGGAGAATTTTCTAATTCACAGTGACCTTGACAAGGATGGTGGGAGGGGAGATGGGAGGGGTGTAGAGACCTCAGAGATGCGTAGGACTAGAGCCCACAGGCTGCGGTGATAGGATGCATAAGGAGGGTGAAAGAGGCAGAGAGATCTAGGTTAGTAAGTTGGCGGGGCCACTTACAAGGTTTAGAATAGCAAACGAAGTTTAGTGGGAAAGCTATGGTAGAGATGCCTTCGAATTATCCAGCTGGAGGTGTTGCCTGTTAACTATGAAGTTCTGAAACTCGGGGAGAATTCTGCACTGACATATAAACTCGGGAGCCATGAAGGAGTAGTAGACTATCAACGCCAAGGTCATGAATGAGAGAGAGCCTGAGGATAAGTCAAAGGCTTAAGGCTAAGTCCCGAGGAGTTCCAACATTTACTGCTGAGGAGGACCTGCCTGCGAAGGAAGGAAACAGAAAAGGAGTAACAAACTGACTGGGGGAAGGAAGCTTGGTATCAGGGAAGCCGAGGGAAGAAAGCTGTGCCCAGTGCGGCTGAGAGGTCATGTAGGATGAGGGCTACAAAATGCTGGTTGGATGGATCAACATGAAGAAAAGCAGGGACCTTCCTGAGCAGGGACCTGCTGAGCGATGGCGGGAGGCCTTGAGCAGGATGAAATGTGAACAGAAAGGGGGTTTATGGAGTCAGTGTGTACAGGCAAGTCTTCTGTGCAGTTTGCTGGGAATGAAGAGGGACTGAGCAGTAGCTCTCAGGAGATGAAAGAGTCAATGAAGTTTTGTTTGTTTGTTTGTTTTTGCCTTCTCTTTTAAGATGGGAGAGACTTTCTGAAAAATTGACCAAAAAAACCCACAAAATACTTGGGGACACCTTCCCACCCTTCACCCTTCCCTCAGACTTCCTGAGACCCCCGTGAAACAGAATTAATCAATGGCAAACATCAGACCTCCCAAACACCCAAACCCTCTCCCGCCCAGGGCTACCAGCTTGTTAAGGGAAAGGAATTTTCCTTTGGTTTTCCCATACCCCAGTCTCCCCTTCCCTCTTCCAAATCGCATTAGGAAGTCAAATTAGGAAGCCTCCACGCAGCCAAGTTTTGTTTTGCAGAAACAGCCCTGCCCCCTTCACTGAGCCCTCCTGATTGAGGTTAATGGGATTCCAGCCTCCCTCGGGCCAGTGGAAAGCCAGGGTGACCTACTTTGTGAGGTCCTGCCCCGTGAAACTGACTTGCTTTTCAATGATCTTCATCTTTTTCCCCAGGACCACTTCTCAAAGGACAGCCATGAACGAACAAATTAGCTGCTGACTTGTTTAGCTCAATAAATCAAGCTGCGGCTCTGTCAGCCCAGAGCGCAGGTAGAGACAGAAAAGACAGATGCTGAGCAAAACCCACATCCTTCACTAGTTCCTCTGGCGCCTGAGTAGAAAATGACCAGGTTTCCTGCAGATCGATTCTGAATTTCCACCACCCAGTTCCTCCAGTTTCATCTGAATACTAGGAATTACTGGAACTTTTAAAAATCATTTTTTATTCTCATAATGAATCTTGTAAGGGACTGCAGTCCCCTTCATGATTCCCAGCCGCTCTGTTTAATTAATATTTGATAAGACAACCATTCATGTGTCCTCCAGACAGCTGAGGGGAGGGTGGATCAGAGACACGGTCACCCTCTCCAGAAATCCTGCCTCTGGAGGGTCAGTGCCCCGTAAATCACCCAAG